AGATTGTAAATGTTGTGTCTTGGCTCTCCAACACACCGGTGTGCTGTACTGGTAACGAATCGGCACGTTCTGTTTACGTGACAAACCCCTTACTAATTGGCTGTGTCGGGTGGTGGCTGGTTTAACGACACAACATTTATATATTTACGCGATCTAACCCCAAATAAAACCTGTGTTATGGATGATATTGGTTGCGAAAGCCTCCTACTTTTTAAACTCATCTCTGTCCCGTCTGCATCCCACTTCTCCGATGGTGAGCAGAGTGAGCTCACAAACCCTTGCGGCCCATGCTGGATTCCCCGGGCAGGGCTAACATCAGTGGCGAGTGATATCGGAAACCAGTCCTGATACGCTTGCCCCTTCACCAACCCCGCAATGACCAGCGTGGTGAAGTATGGTCAAACAACGCCCATGATCGACGGGGAGGGGGAAGCCTTCATCTAACAGTGGATTAAGAAAGGCCCGCTCTTTATTATTATGGCCACATTACTCAAAGCCAAAGACACCAGGAGTGCCTATGATGGATTACTTTCAGGCGCCAGTACTGTACAAAGGACATTCATAGCACGTGATGTTAAAGGGTACGCAGAGAGGCATTTCATACCAAATCGCCAGCCACGCACAAACTAGTGCAGAGTATTTATCAACTTACCATAGTAGGCAAGCAATAGTCAGCCGATTATAACTCACAGCCCTTGGCCAACCCACCGCTGGACAAAGGCCCCTCCACAAGCCGTGTCGTTCTTGGGGGGGTTGTTTTGACCAAACTTCACCACTCCGGTCAGTGTAACACGGGATGGGGGGTGGAAGGATCTCTCACTCAGCAGACTCACCAGCAGTCAGTCGCCTCCTTAACACTCTTCCGTCGCTACTAACATGGTTACTGTTGCTCTGACCTGTACTCATGGAGTCCTCCACAGTGCTTTGGCCGATGACTCAGTCCACCACCACACCGACCCCTTTTCATGTTTGCTCACACAGCGTTGAATCACTGATACCGCAGGGCAAACCAACACGACCACTCACCCATCCACCCACCCACTAACCACACTGCATGTCACAATACCACGTTTACTTGCCCGCCCTCTCACTCACTCACCCATCCACCCACCTTGAGAATTCCCTCCCCCCGGTCTATTTCCCCCAAGTTCACGTAAACTACCCCGCTCAATTCAATAATCATCGGAGCCCTCATCGACTATAACTCTTTAACGTGTTGCTCGCCGCTTCATGTTTTGGACCTGTGCTTAAGCAACCGAGCCACGGTGAATGGGAGATGTTAACTACCTCGCCTGGTACGCAGGAGGTCCAAAGGTTCGATCCTGACCCTGATGCCGACTGTATATTTGGAGTTTGCGTGTATTCTCTCTCTCATCATCACCACGATGGCTAGGAGATGTTAACTACCTCGCCTGGGGTACAGGAGGTCGTGGGTTCGATCCCGACTCTGGCGCCTGCTGCTGTATATTTGGAGTTTGCGTGTCTCTCTCTCTCATCATCATCACAGTGGCTAGGAGATGTTAACTACCTCGCTTGGTACACAGGAGGTCGTGGGTTCCATCCAGACCCTGGCGCCTGCTGCTGCTCTATATTTGGAGTTTGCGTGTCTCTCATCATCATCACAGTGGCTAGGAGATGTTAACTACCTCGCCTGGTATACAGAAGGTCGTGGGTTCGATCCCGACCCTGACGTCTGCTGCTGTATATTTGGAGTTTGCGTGTCTCTCTCTCTCATCATCACGGTGGCTAGGAGATGTTAACTACCTCGCCTGGTGTACAGGAGGTCATGGGTTCGATCCCGACCCTGGCGCCTGCTGCTGTATATTTGGAGTTTGCGGTGTCTCTCTCTCATCATCATCACAGTGGCTAGGAGATGTTAACTACCTCGCCTGGTACACAGGAGGTCGTGGGTTCGATCCCGACCCTGACGCCTGCTGCTTTATATTTGGAGTTTGCGTCTCTCTCTCTCTTTTAGTGGTGGTCGCGTGGATTTTTCTCCAGGTCCTCCGATTTTTTTTCCCCCTCCTCCACATTTAGCAACAACATCGCCACGCGTTCAGAGTGTTTGCCTGCTGCTGCTGCCGCTACAAAATTCCCACACAACAACAACGACGACGATGATAAGCCACGTCGATTAAAGCTATCAATTGTGATAGTCAGGGCGCTTATGAAAAAAAAGACCACCACTGTACAGCTCAGTGGGCTTTATCTGGAAAACATAAAAGCGTCGCATGAAAGCGAATCTCCTTGCCAAGAGAAAGAGCAGATCCCACAACAAGCCACCAGAGGTTCCGGACGTGGTTGGAGTGTTATTTGTGATTTTTTCTCTCCATCCTCTCTAACATATATAATTAAATAACTCCCCGCGTCAGCTCAGTAACCCGAGTGGTGACAGATGGCCACTGGGTGGTGGTGGTGGTGGAGGTCACGTGTTGTGTTGTGTAGTGTTGTGTGAACGGGCAGAGTTTGCGTGGCCCTCCAACATTCTGAAATTCTGCACGGGGCTCGTGGCTTTGTGTTGTTGCGTCTTTGTTTTGTGTGTGTGTATGAATCACGTCTGTGAATGCCAATGTGTGTGTGTGTCTGTGTGTGCAAGTGTGTGCAAGTGTGTGAATGTGTATGTGTGTGCGGGGACAAAGATCCCCCGTATAGCCTTAACAGACTGTAGGGGCAAGTGCTGTTAGCGAGCACCTATGAAGGCCGGAACGGTACGCGAGGGGGTGGGTGGCCAGCACCACGCCCGACCGCCTTTGTCTCCCCAGTGGCAATGTTTTTATCCACCGCACCAGGTACTCATTTGAGGCTGAGTCGACCTAGGGGATTGACGATTATCTGAACCGGTCCTGGACCTCCCCTAGGTCGACTCAGCCTCAAATGAGTACCTTTTGCGGTGTGTAAACATCGCCACTGGGGGAGACAAAGGCGGCCGGGCGTGGTGCTGGCCACCCACCCCCTCCGTGTTCCGTTCCGGCCTTCATAGGTGCTGCTCGCTAACAGCACTTGCCCCTACAGTCTGTTACAGCCTACACGGGGTTTCTTAGCCTTTGTGTGTCCGTGTCTGTCAGTGTGTCTGTGCAGGTGCTCACCTGTGTGCCTACACCTGTGTGTGTGTTGATGGTGTTCTGTATCTGTTAGAAATACGAAATGGGGGATCTTTGTACGTGCGTCGGTGCACAGCGATCAGCAACACTGCCCTGCAAAACCCCGATTGTTGTTTGTTTTTACCGGAGTTCAAATCCTGCTCATGGCCAACATCAAGCGGCAAACATCCCAACCGGTCCTGGGCCTCCCCCTAGGTCGACTCAGCCTAAAACACGAGTACCTGGCGCGGTTCGCAGTTAATTTCGCCACCCGGGGGAGACAAAGGCGGCCCCGGGGCGCCATGCCGACGTTAATAGGCGCTCGCAAACAAAACCTTATCGTCGTAGTGATCGACGGTGGGGGGGAGGGGGGTGAGACCTTTGTGCCTTCGAGAGAAACAACTCGCACGGTGACACTGCCAAGAGGCAATCGTCTCAGCAGTCAACGTGGAAATGATTAACTACTCTGCTGGTGAATAATAACGTCTCTGGCTTTAAGGAACGCTAAATCGTCTTGCCATATCAATCGCATGTTGTGGAAAAACAATATTAACCGTTTTTTTTTAAACACGCTTTTATTGAACTCACTCTGTCCGTTTTTGTTGTTGTCGCATCCTCAAATCTTGCAACTCAATTTTAACTCACTTCCCAATGTGATATCGACTGCAAACAAGGTATACTTATGTCATACCGATGACAATACTATATTCTATCATAAAAAAAAGAAATTTATATATTTTGAAACATTATTTTATATATGTTATGTTTCGGCTCGGCTCTAATTGTCCACGGTCAGCTGATGCCGTGGCAAGCTTCGGGGCCACTTCCTGGAGTCGTGGAGTTGTTCCATTACTCGCACGGTACATTTCATTAAAGCGTGTTTAAAACATTTTTTAAATATAACTTATTTGTTGTTGTTTGCTGTGTGTGTGTGGGAATCAGGGAGTTGTAGTGTGTGTGGGAATCAGGGAGTTGTAGTGTGTGGTAACTTAATCCTGTAGCCTAGTGTTTGAGTCGTGTACTTTATTGAGTGTGTTACGTACAATTGCATACAGTTACTTGTGTTGCAGATATATTTAATGCAAGGACACACGCTCGGTAGTTGATGAAAGGTACAGACAGAGAGATCGACAAGGACACTTTCACGGTTTTACACACAAGTACTAAATGAAGGCAAAGATCCCCCGTATAGCCTTCGCAAGACTGCTGGGCAAAGTGCTGTTCGCGAGCACCTATTAAGAATGCTGGCACACATATGATTGGGGGTAGTGTGGCCACCACTGCTTTAGATGCACCACCCGGCCGCCTTTGTCTTCCCGGCGCTTGTGATTCACTAGACACGTATAAAAAACACCAAAGACAAAGATCCCCCGTATAGCCTGTAACATACTGCTGGGGTAAGTGCTGTTATAGCGAGTAAGTAGCACCTATGAAGGCCGGCACGGCACACGAGGGGGTTGGGGTGGCCAACACCACGCCCGGCCGCCTTTGTCTCCCCAGTGACAATGTTTACACACCGCACCGGGTACTCATTTGAGGCTGAGTCGACCTAGGGGAGGCCCAGAACCGGTTCAGATAATCGTCACCGTGGTTGTTGGCCGTGAGTTGGAATCGAATCCCCGGGTCGCCAGGTTCGTAGCGCAGCGTAGCGCTAACCGCTACACCACCGCTCCCCACGTACAAAGAAAAATAAGACAAAGATCCCCCGTATAGCCTTCACAGACTGTAGGGGGCAAGTGCTGTTAGCGAGCACCTACACGCGGAATCGTACGATGTACTTAAGCTGGAGGAATCCGATGATCTGCAAAGCTCTTTTTTCACAGACGTCCCACGCTGTATGTACACCGCTAAACAACAAGTACACACAGCGAGGTAGCTTTGTGCAGGAACGTGTCGTGTGGCCGTGTGCTGTGTACATACCAGCGCTGGTCATGCTGTGGCTGGCATCAGCAGCACGCTAGCAGTGGAGCTGCAGTGACTTGGCGGGTGGCTCTCGCTAGAGTTGCCTTGAGGCCACCATCGACTTTTCACGAGATGATGCCACTAGCGGCTGCTGTGAGCTCCACGGAGAGCTCAACTCTCATCCCCCCGGGCAGGATCCAACCTTGATCCAGCGTCTGGATTCACACAACCACCACCACCATCACCGCCTTGATCCAGCGTCTTGATTCACACAACCACCACCACCTCCATCACCGCCTTGATCCAGCGTCTTGATTCACACAAACACCACCACCTCCATCACCGCCTTGATCCAGCGTCTTGATTCACACAACCACCACCACCATCACCGCCTTGATCCAGCGTCTTGATTCACACAAACACCATCACCGCCTTGATCCAGCGTCTTGATTCACACAACCACCACCACCATCACCGCCTTGATCCAGTGCCTTGATTCACACAAACACCACCACCATCACCGTCTTGTTCCAGTGCCTTGATTCACACAACCACCATCACCGCCTTGATCCAGCAGATCCACCTCGATTCGCCGAAGCGACCAAGCCACCTTCCCCTTCGGCGAATGCCATCACCACGAACCACGCCGCCACTCGCAGCGGAAGGCTCCAAGTCGAGTCCCGCGCCTTCACAGCAAGAAGGACCGGCTGTGTGAAGTTGTTCCCTTCTCTCTGCCTCTCTCCCCCTTGCTCGCCGACTCCCTCTGTACCCTCTCCTCCTCGCTCCTCCTCTCTTTCCCTCGATCGCGTTCTACTCCTGCTCCCCTAATCCCGTTCCTCTCCGCTCTCTTCGTCGGCTGCCCTCTCTCCACCACCACCACCTCCTCCTCCTCTCTCACATCCTACAAACTCCTTCCCCTCCCTCCTCCTCCTGCCTCCCTCTCTCTCCCCTCCCCCCCACTGCACTCTCTCCACCACCACCTCCTCCTCTCTCACATCCTACAAACTCCTTCCCCTCCCTCCTCCTCCTGCCTCCCTCTCTCTCCCCTCCCCCCCACTGCACTCTCTCCACCACCACCACCTCCTCCTCTCTCACATCCTACAAACTCCTTCCCCTCCCTCCTCCTCTCTCCACTCCCCCCTCTGCCCTCTCTCCCTAACCGCTCACAAAATCCCCATTGGCGCTCACCCCACACGATACAAAGACAAAGGTTCCCCGTGTAGCCTTAACGGACTTTTGGGGCAAGTGTTTTAGCGAGCAGCACCTATGAAGGCCGGCACGGCACGCGAGGGGGTTTGGGTGGCCAGCACCACGCCCGGCCGCCTTTGTCTCCCCAGTGGCGATGTTTACTACACATCGCACCAGGTACTCATTTAAGGCTGAGTCGACCTACGGGAGACCCAGGGACCGGTTCAGATAATCGTCACCGATGTTGGCAGTGAGCGAGGGAATCGAACTCGGGTCGCCGGGTTCGTAGTGCAGCGTAGCGCTAACCGCTACACCACCGCTCCCCACAGACACAGTGACACACAGTATACACAACAACAACCGCCATTCGCCACTAAGTGGCGGTGACGTCACCACGACGCTTGTGCCAGGCTATGTGCACCCTGAGGCCACGTGAAGTGTCGAACGCCCGCTGGCAGGAGGTCACGGGGCAGACCCAGGTGCCACGGGTCGACTGACTGAGATGACTGGCTGATGCACCACCTGTGCCCCCTACTGTGCCAACCTGCTGTGCTTTAGCCACCCGGCGCTCCGCTCGTTGTTGTGAGCGTCGCTCCTCCACCCTCCGTTGTTGTTGGAGGGCGACTGCCTCCAACTGCCCAGTAGCATCCTTCACGAGCCTCCTCCACAGAGGCCGATCTTGACACCGCTGGTACCAGTCATCGGCAAGTCCACTCAGCTCCACGTCCTCCTGTACCACATCACTCCATCTCTTCTCTAGCCCGTGCCGCGTCCGTTTAGCCCCCTCGATCCGGCCGAACAAAAGCTGTTTCGGCATGCGGTGGCTGGGCATGCGGGCTACATGACCCAGCCAACGCAGCCTTGCCTGCTGGAGGAGCTCACCGATGGGACCTTGCCCAGATCTTTCAAGGATTTGTGAGCTCCTCACACAATCCAGTCTGGTTAAACCCAGGATGGATCGTAGGCAGGCCAGCCTAAATGTTTATAACCGGCGAAGATGTTCCATTAAGGGGATCCACGTTTCGCAAGCGTAGAGAAGGGAGAGAATGACCGTGGCCGAGAAGACCTGAAGCTTAGTGCGGAGCGACAGACCAGGTAACTTTTACACAGCGTTACGCAACCGATGAAAAGATATTGCCGCTCGACTGATTCGGAGTGAGACCTCTGCTGTTAAACTGGAGCCAGTCATAAGCACACTGCCCAGGTATGGGAAACTCTCCACTCTCTCCACATTCGGAGTGAGGCCTCTGCTGTTAAACTGACACACACACAGACTCACACACCCAGTGACACACACACACAGTGACACACACACAGACTCAGTTTCAGTTTATTTATTTTGGTATAGCCCTGTGAGCCATTCGGCTCTTGAATCGGGTGCAACCACAACAATCAAAAACACGAACAGACTCACACACAGTGATACACACACAGTGATACACACACAGTAATACACATACAGTGAAACACATACAGACTCACACAGAGTGATACACACAGACTCACACAGTGATACACACTCACACACACAGTGATACTCACACACAGACACACTCACACACACGCACTCACACTCGGCCTAAAATATTTACACCGCCAGTTTACACTCAGGGTTGTGAAAAAAGTTGTTTGTGTTACCGGTAACCGCATGAAAAACCGGTTTCAAACTATCACCGCTTTACCACGACGCGTGTTTATCTTTTTTTTAACTAAGGAACGAATGGAAAAGCGTCTGTCACACTGGTAGTGGTTGGTGGTGGTGGTGGTTGGTTGGTGGTTGTGGTGGGTAGGTTGTTGGTTGTGGTTGATGGTGGTTGGTGGTGGTGATTTGTGGTGGTGGTGGTTGTGGTTGGTTGGTGGTAGGTGGTGGTTGATGGTGGTGGTTTGTGGTGGGGGTTGGTTGATTGTGATGGTGGTTTGTGGTGGTGGTTGTGGATGATGGTGGTTGGTAGTGGTGGTTGTGGTTGGTTGATGGTGGTTGTGGTTGGTGGTGGTTGTGGCGGTGGTTGTGGTTGGTTGATGGTGGTTGGTGGTTGGTTGGTGGTGGTTTGTGGTGGTGGTTGGTTGATTGTGGTGGTGGTTGGTGGTGGTTGTGGTTGGTTAATGGTGGTTGTGGTTGGTGGTGGTTGTGGTTGGTTGATGGTGGTTGGTGGTGGTGGCTGTGGTTGGCAGGTGGTGGTGGAAGGGAGGCAGTGTAGCGGTTAGCGCTGCCGCACTACGAACCTGGCCACCTGAGTTGGATTCCCGCTCACGACCCACATCAACACCAGTGTCTATTAACTTGGCCTCCGGGTCATCGGGACTGTGAACATCGCCGCTGGGGAGACAAAGGCGGCCGGGAATGGTGTTGGCCACCCACCCCCTCGTGTGCCGTGTTAAGGCTACACGGGGAACCTTTGCATTTGGTTGGTGGTGGAACTGTTTAAGCACTTCACAGCAGCCAACATTCTAAGACTCTCGGAACCGGTAAATAACGGTTACCGGTTATCCTTGAACAACCCCACGCACACCCCACGTGCGCGCGTGTAATGATGATGGTGGTGGTGATGAAGCGCGCATCCTGCCATGAACTGGGGGCCCCGTCTCCTTCATTGCTGCTCGCAAACCACGCGCACACACAGTACACACACAGTACACACACACAGTACACACATACAGTACACACATACAGTGCACACACAGTACACACAATACACGCACACAGTACACACAGCACACAGTACACACAGTACACACACAGCACACACACAGCACACACAGTACACACACACAGTACACACAGTACACACACACAGTACACACACACAGCACACGCACACAGTACACACAGTACACACACAGTACACACAGTACACACACACAGTACACACACACAGCACACACAGTACACACAGTACACACACACAGCACACGCACACAGTACACACAGTACACACAGACAGTACACGCACACAGTACACACAGTACACACACACAGTACACACCGTACACACACAGTACACACACAGTACACACAGTACACACACAGTATACACACAGTACACACACACAGTACACACACAGTACACACAGTACACACACAGTACACACACACAGTACAGACAGTACACACAGTACACACACAGTACACACAGTAAACACACAGTACACACACACAGTATACACACAGCATACACACAGTACACACACAGTACACACACACAGTATACACACAGTACACACACACAGTACACACAGTGCACACACAGTACAGTATACACACAGTACACACACACCGTAAACACACACAGTATACACACAGTACACACACAGTACATACACACAGTACACACACAGTACACACAGTATACAAACAGTACACACACATAGTATACACACAGTACACACACAGTACACACACAGTATACACAGTAAACACACAGTACACACAGTACACACACACAGTACACACACACGGTATACACACAGTACACACACAGTACACAGAGTACACACACAGTACACACACAGTATACACATAGTACACACACAGTACACACACAGTACACACACACAGTACACACAGTAAACACACAGTACACACACACAGTATACACACAGCATACACACAGTACACACGCAGTACACACACACACAGTACACACACATAGTAGACACACAGTACACACACACACAGTGCACACACAGTACCCACACAGTTTACACACACAGTATACACACAGAATATACACACACAGTATACACAGAGTATACACACGGTATACACGCACAGTACACACACACACAATACACACAGTATATACACAGTATACACACAGTGTACACACACACAGTACACACACACAGTACACACAAACAGTATACACACAGTATATATACACAGTATACACACAGTGTACACACACAGCATACACACAGTATACACACAGTATACACAGTAGACACACAGTATACACACACAGTACACACAGTACACACACACAGTACACACAGTATATACACAGTATACACACAGTACACACACAGTACATACACACAGTACACACACACAGTACACACACAGTACACACACACAATATACACAGTATACACACAGTATATACACAGTATACACAGAGTATACACACACAGTATACACACACAGTACACACAGTATATATACACAGTATACACAGTGTACACACACACACACAGTACACACACACAGTACACACAAACAGTATACATACGGTATATACACACACAGTATACACACAGTGTACACACACACAGTATACACGCACAGCATACGCACATTATACACACAGTACACACACACAGTATGCACACAGTACACACACAGTATACACACAAAGTATACACACAATATACACACAGTATATACACAGTGCACACACACAGTACACTCACACAGTATACACACAGTATACACACAGTATGCACACAGTACACACACACAGTATACACACAGTATACACACACATTATACACGCAGCATATACACAGTATAACACAGTATACACATACAGTGCACACACACAGTACACACACAGTACACACACAGTATACTCACACAGTACACACAGTATATACACAGTGTACACACACACAGTATACAAAGACAGCGTACTCACAGTATACACACACAGTACACACACACACACACAGTATACACACAGCATATACACACAGTATACACACATTATACACGCAGCATATAC